CCTGTGCCATTAATATGTTTATAAGCAGCTGAAAAAAACACAGATTTCAGGGCATGTCAGAACATCCCAAGGAGGCCAAATAGCCCTTGGTCCCCAGAGGGTTAAATAATGGACTTTGGAAGGCATTACATCATATTGTACAATGTCATCCAACACAGGTTTAAAAAGCTTCAAAGATCTTACTTTCACCTAGATTTTAGAAAAACAAATTTCTTTTGAAATTTACAGCTCAGGAAACATTATAATGGAAAAAAAAAATTTAAACTATACGTCAATATTTTTATTGATGTGTATAAGACTGGCACTCACAATAAACTGATATCGAGAATGTATTCAAGTATATAATCTTCTAAAAATCCCTGTACATTATATGTAAAAGATAAGTGGGAGAAGGGAGTGAACATAATTTTATCTGATGATGAGTATTTGTAAAACGTTTACAGTGGGGCCAAAAAAGTATTTAGTCAGCCACTGATTGTGCAAGTTATCCTACTTCGAATGAGAGAGGTCTGTAATTTTCATCATATGTACACTTCAACTATGAGAGACAAAATGAGGAAAAAAAATCCAGGAAATCACATTGTAGGATTTTTAAATAATTTATTTGTAAATTATGGTGGAAAATAAGTAGTTGGTCACCCACAAAGCAGCAAGATTTCTGGCTCTCACAGACCTGTAACTTCTTTTTTTCCCCCTGCACTCGTTACCTGCATTATTGACACCTGTTTGAACCCGCTATCTGTATAAAAGACTCCTGTCCACTGCCTCAAACAGTCGCACTCCAAACTCAACCATGGCCAAAGAGCTGTCGAAGGACACCAGGAAGAAAATTGTAGAGCCGCACCAGGCTGGGAAGAGTGACTCTACAATAGGCAAGCAGCTTAGACATACAAAGCCACTGATAATCTCCCTTGATCTGGGGCTCCACGATCATGAGAACGGTGAGCAAAAATCACAGAACTACACGGAGGGACCTGATGAATGACCTGCAGAGAGCTGTGACCAAAGTAACAAAGGCTACCATCAGTAACACACTACACCGAGAGATGTCAAATCCTGCAGTATCAGGCGTCCCCCCCTGCTTAAGCCAGTACATGTCCAGGCCCGTCTGAAGTTTGCCAGAGAGCATATGGATGATCCAGAAGAGGATTGGGAGAATATCATGTGGTCAGATGAAACCAAGACAGAACTTTTTGGTAAAAACTCAACTCGTCGTGTTTGGAGGAAGAAGAATACAGAGTTGCGTCCCAAGAACACCATATCTACTGTGAAGCATGGGGGAGGAAACATGCTTTGGGGCTGTTTTTCTGCAAGGGGGACAGGAAAACTGATCCGTCACTGTATGAAAAGTGGGATTTTCGTCCCCGTAAACAGCCGTAAATCTCCCCAAATACTTATTTTCCACCATAGTTTACAAATAAATTCTTTAAAAATCCTCAATGTGATTTCCTGGATATTTTTTTCTCTCATTTTGTCGCTCATAAGCCGCGTTTCCACTGCAATTACCAGGAACTATTTGTCCCTGGAACCTTTTTTTTTGTCCCAGACCGCTTGCTTACTGCATTTAAACCACACACTAAAGTACCGCTCCGGGGCGGGAAGATTATGTAGTGACGTTGAACTGCGTGCGACTGCTCCTCCCAGTCTGCGCATTTGTTTTGAGTTTTGTATGGAAGAGATTCAAGCAGTGCTGCTTTTGTGTGCGATTGGTTTACTAACAAGGTAATTAACAAAACGGCAGAAAAGAGACGAGCACCCAAAGCGTATTCAGAAAGCTTTTAATGCTAGATATAAAAGTAGACGTTTGTTATCAGCGGACATTGACCGTGAGATGGATGGGACGAACGCGCGTCGGGCAGAAAGAACAAGTGGTAAGAACCAATCAGCATGTTCAGCGCATAACTCCCACCCCGAAAGTTCCTGAACTCTGAAAAAGGACTACCTCGCCAGCAGGGATTTTCTGGGGGGGAAATTTTTACCCGGAACTTCATTTAGACCCTGGTTCCTGCAGTGTAACACACCGAGTACCACCCCAAAAGTTCCCAGTTCCTGGGGAAAATTCCTGCGGTGGAAACGCGGCTATAGTTAAAGTGTACCTACGATGACAATTACAGACCTCAGTAGGAGAACTTGCACAATCAGTGGCTGACTAAATACTTTTTGGCCCCACTGTATACTACATCTAGTTCAGGTCAATTGAGAGAATTCTCATGGAAGAATATCATAAGATTCTTTATTACCACCAAAAGATAATATTTACAGAACGGTAATCTGGAATCTGCACTCCGTTGAGACAATGTATCAATTCTATGCTGTTCACTTCACATATTTTGGAAATGTCCAACAATTCAGCCTTTTTGGTTGGAGATAGTCACTGAAATAAAATTGATACTGGGTTTCGAGATGGAGTACAGTTTAGGTACTGTATATTAAGGAAACATACCAACTCTTAATACTCAAGACAGGTAACAAAGTATTATTGGTTGCTAGTAAAAAAGCAATAACTAAGAAATGGCTGCATGAGAGTCCACCAACAAAAGAGTGGATATTGATTGTAAATCATATGTATGATATGGAACAACTGACCTCTCTTAAGATTAAACATGGATACATTTTACAAGCACTGGTCAAAATGGCTAATGTACAGGACTTGAGTATGGAGTGAACATAGAGATATTGAGTGTACTGCAATTGTTTTCTTCCCTCCACACATTTTATTGAAATTATCATATTGAGAATCTCTCTCTCACTCTCTCTCTCGCTCTCGCTCTCGCTCTCGCTCTTTTTCCTTTCTTCAGTATGGGAAATATTTATCTAGTGAAAACATTTTGGATTTGTATGTTTTGTGATGGCACCTTTTAGGGACTTGAAAGGACTGTTACAAATATTCTCCTAATAATATTTTTATTAATGTTTTTTCTCTCTTCTCCTCACTCTTCTGAGATTATTGGGAGAGTAACCCCTGATATGATGTTAACAGTATATGAACAACATAATTGTATGTGAGACCCCTGGTCAAGTCAAGTCACCTTTATTTATATAGTGCTTTTTACAATACAGATTGTATCAAAGCAGCTTCAAAGTGATCAAATAAAAATAATACAACACAGATCAAAACTCCATCAGGTGATAGAATGAAGAAAATAAAGTGTGACCTGTTCTGTTCTTTTGAATGTGTTCTACTAAAAGCATATATATAAAACAATAAAAAGTAAGGAAAATGTTTTAAATTGAATTATTCACAGCTTAAATATATAACAATGTTAAATCTCAGCCCATAAAAATGGAAGCCCTAAATATACAACACATTAAAATGCAAGCTTTTTTTTTCAATTAGTGCAATTATACAAGCTTTTGTGTTTCAAAAATATTTTGCATTATACTACTTTAATATTTTGACTCCATGCACAAATGCAGGCAAGAGATTCACACGCATGCACAGAAACACTCAACAATCATCACTCAACACTTAACACTCAACCCATGGCTCTACAGTGAGAAGCCTCTCCACAGCAATCCAAAACATAAGCAATGCATTGGCAATAGTATTTCGCTTTAATGCCCATGATTATTTCTTTCCATATGTATCGTTCTCAAGGCAGTTTCTAGGCATATGAAAACTAGGCAATTACTTAAAGGGGTGGTTCAGAATTTTGGACAGATTAGGTGTTCTGTTCGCATGTAGAAATAAAAGCAATGCCTTCATCTATATACAATGAAATATGTGTAAATTTAGTGTTAAATTGAACTCTCTTAGAAAAAGGTAAAATATATAAATAGATTTATTTTGGATTGTTGTAAAAATAGGATTATTTATTTGTGTTAAAGTTAGCATGCTAATAACAGGATCATGCAACTAGCAACTATACTATTAACATTAATGATAATAATAATAATAATGTCCACTCAACAGAGAAAAAACAAACATGATTTTTGAAGTCATCCCCACATGAACACCATAACATTTTAGTATTCAAATATAGAAACCTATTGTTAAGCACATTCAAAACCTCTGAGCAGAAATTCATGAACAAAAGCTGCTTTATTCGTTAGCTAATCTTTATTTATAAATGACTTTTAAAACCAACAGTACAAAGGGCTTTACAAGAATCATGTACAAATGATAAAATGATTGACATTTAGCACATTCAAAACATCCGAGCAGAAATTTGTGAACAAAAACTTCTCTGATGTGGCAGAATATAAAAGTAAACTCCATCAAAAACAAGCCAATTAATCAAGTCTAAGCATTCATATTACTTTTATAATATTATATATAGTATTAATTTTGAATTACATAGCATATATCAAAGACTAAAATAGAAAATATTTCAGTCAATTTTACTCATCTCAGTATATAGCAATATAGTTTTGGAAAAGCCAAATTAGTAAATATGTTTATGTAATAAATACTATGTTTACTAATGTAGAATAAATAACTTGGTCGTCTGATTCTGTATTGCTTTTTATATTAATCATGAATAGATGCGCTTTGATGGACTTCCAAAGACGGACATTATCAAGCTTGGAAGAGCCAGGACAATTTTTAATATAACTCCAATTGTATTCGTCTGATAGAAGAATGTCATATACACCTAGGATGGGATCAGGGTGAATAAATCATGGGCTAATTTTTATTTTTGGGTGAACTATCCCTTTAAAGCAGAATACCAATGCAAACACCTCAACATTTTTGTGTGTAAAAAAATAATTTGTTCACAATTTATTCTATAAATAGTGTGTATAGCTTATCTTTATATATTTGCATTCTGATGGTGTCCATTTGTGAATGTAGTGCGTGGGATTTCCTGTCTGCATTTATGCACTGTTTTGTGTGGATCTCGAGTGCAGTGTGTGAATCTTTTGGATGCATTTGTGGATTGCCGTGCACAAATTGTTTAGATGTTTTGATACTGTTTTCATTCAATATTTGTGCACAATAATCTTTGTTGTATTGAAAAATGGTTAATAAATGGTTTATTACCAAAACCCTTGTGCAGATAATGACAGCTGGAGCAAGTTCTGTTAAGGAATTAAGCAGCAATCAAGAGGGAGATGATGAGAAAAGGAGAAAATCACCTCAAGTATGTCCATTTCTTAAAAAAAAAATGGTTTCTCTGATCCTGTAAGTCCCTCACATGTGGACTGGGCTCTCAATGACAAACTGGCATGTTAATCTCCTGCGTGGTGTGGTCCTGTGTTTTTGACATCATGCAGGTGGCTACCAGTGAAGTGGAGGAGGAGAAGGATGATGGTGGGGACATGGAGATTTCTGATCAGGGACATCTGAAAAATGAAGTATGTTCTCTTATAGTTTGGTTGAGGTACAGAGGCTCACTGGCGGGATGTTTCATATGCAAAAGAGATTGCTTGTAGTCGTGAAAAGGGGGCAGAATAAAACATACTGCCTTTTCCAGAATATTACCACTAAATTACTGAGAACTAGGGGTTGAACAACATCATGTTTTTGAAGTCGATATTTATTTTATTTAGTCGTAATGAAAGCGGAACGAATCTATGCTACTCATTTGTGCTTCTGCTTCACGGAACGTCAGTTTGGACCAGTCCAATTTGGTGCAGCGCAAGCAAATCTTGATCAAGTGACACTGTTACTACACAGCGCTAAGATAACCAGAAAAAGAAAGCATTTGAATTTGCCAAAGAAATAATAGCATCGCTGCGAGATCTGTTGAGAAGCATTCAAATTTCTCCATTATTAACATAGATCTCTATTAGATCAAACAGAAATGATGTGGAAACCAGGAGAAACATTGTGCCATGAATGAACTAGTTACGGCTCGTTTCCACTGAGCGGTACGGCACGATACAGTACAGAACGGTTTGGGTCGGTAAACCATGATCCGGCTTGCGTTTCCACTGTCAACAGTACCCTTACTTGATAGGCGTAGTGTTCGCAGGAAAGAAGCTATCAACATCATTTTCGTGCGAAGACAGCGACATAAACAACAATGGATGACGTACAGCAGATCTTGTTCTTGCTTCTCGACATGTTTGTCACAAGAAACAAGCGCTGGAATTAGGCGTTTCTCAATACCAAGTAGCCTACCCAAAGTCTGACTCAGGAGAATGACTCTGAGGACGCGATCCAGTAATTCTGCTAATGGAACGAAGCGCATTCTTGATCGCTCTGCTACTCTGGTTATCTCTGTATGTACATTTTAGGCAACAATAAAACGAAATATGTTATAAAACGCCACTCTTCTTCTTTTCGATTTCATTTAAATGCATTTTAAACATTATAAGCACACAAATGTGGTTCAGGCAACGCATAGTCTATTGATTATATTCACATGTACGGTATATTTATAACAAAACAAAATTTAAAACACAACCCTGCCTCTTTTCGTTTAAATGTAAAAATATCAAAGCGTTCAGTGATTGCTTGGAATGGATCTCAGTCAAATTATCATAAATCTATTATTAAACCACAGATTTGAGCTTTAAAAAACTACATTCTCGCCTGAAAAACTCTTAAAACTACATTCCGTGGCACAATAACAGTATTAAAATTCAACTGTATATTAAAGAAATGGCGCTTCTAATGCCCTTGTAGCAAGCGCAAGTGACGATACTCTGTCAACCAATCACCGTTCTGCTGTGAGTCTAGCTCCACCTTTTAGTACCGCACCACTGTGCTAGTTACCCCAACGGAAGGGTACCCAAAAAGTGGTACGGTACGGCTTTTTAGTGCCATTCACAACTTTTGACAGTGGAAACGCAAATAATTGCATACCGTACCGAACTGTATCGTACCGCTCAGTGGAAACGAGCCATTATAGGCTTTAAGTCCACAAATCAGCAACATTCACTATGGATTTAATGTAGTTACGCTAACTGTAGTCTGTAACCATGGAAGTTTGGCAGGAATTGTAAAAATGTTTTCAAGTACGTCACATATCTTTCTTTTTCAAAAATATTATCATATATTTAAATGTTATTTTTAATGTGATGACCAAAACATTATTTGTTCATCCTTCATAGATTAACCCCATTTCTAAAACTACATTTGTGTAGATGTAGAAAAACTCACTTTATTTTTTTTAATTTAAAATAAAAGTACAATAAATTACCATTGTAACCAGTAGGTGGCTGCCATTTCCATTCCCAAATATTTAATTTTTAATCATTTTGCTTTTTGAATTATTTCAACATTATGAATAAAATTACTGCCCTCAAATGTTAATCTAGAGCCTTGCAAACTTAAAATAAAAACTAAAATTAAATAAACCTTTGTTTCACTACTACAACAGAGCTGTTTTCGCTTTATATGCTGCTAATGCTAAGACGACACCCCAGAAGATGGGTCAAGTATAGCTTCATCATTTTTCAAAGTAAAAAAGATCATACTTTATGATTTTAGTTTTAATAAATTTAAAAAATTTGAAATAATAGGAAATTTCTCTAACTTTTTTTTATCAAAAATTTACAGAATCGTGTCACCACTGCATCCTATCGAACCCATACACTTTTGTCTTTGGGTTGTGATTTTCTCACAGATTTTTGCTCATTCTAAATCAGATACCTACGTTGACAGTTATGTAGGACATTGTATCTTTGTATTCGGTCGAATGCAATGATTGGATGAACATTTAATAGTCTCACGCCTTCCATGGACGATAAACACATAAATGCATTTTGACAACTTAACTTGGTGATTGCTATCAGAATGTGAAGAGACTTTTCATTTTACAAACTTTCTTTGTCTTTTCCTTATACACAACATCTTTGTGATGCTTCATTTTACAAACATTATTTTTCTTTGCCTTATAACACATCTTTGTGATGCTTATATTTGCTCATGTCCTTTTTATTTTCTTGATACAGCCCATTAATATGATATTGAATGTTTTTTGGAAGGCACATTTCCTTATTAAAGAAAACAAAGTCAAATCAGTTTGAAAAGGTATAGCAATGCGAGTCAGAACAGTTTGAATGTCTGAGCCGAGTTTGTAGAGTTAAAGCTCTAAAAAGAATAGCTAGATTTAAAAGTTGGCTTGTGAAAGTTTGCACCAGAAAGTTTGAAGTATTTTGAAAAAGGAAGAAAAATTAGTAAGAAAAAGAAAGAAATTAGTTTGAAAGAAATATTAGTTAGGAAAAAGATAGAAGACAGAAAGAAAAAAAAGATAGAATAGTTTGAAAGAAAGATAGACTAGTTAGAAAGAAAAAAGAAAGAAAGAGATTAGTTAGAAGGAAAGAAAGAAAGACTAGTTAGAAAGTAAGATTGGTTAGAAAGAAAGATAGAATAGTTAGAAAAAAGGAAGATTAGTTAGAAAAATGATAGATTAGTTAGAAAGAAAATAGATTAGTTAGAAAGATGAAAGATAGATTAGTTAGAAAGAAAGATTAGTTAGAAGGAAAGAAATATAGATTAGTTAGAAATAAAGAAAGATCGATTAGGAAGAAAGATAAAGAGATTAGTTAGAAAGAAAGAGATAGATTAGCAAGAAAGATAGATTAGTTAGAAAGAAAGATAGATTAGTTAGAAAGAAAGATAAATTAGTTAGAAAGAAAGAAAGCTAGATCAGTTAGAAATAAAGTATTAGTTAGAAAGAAAGAAAGAAAAGAAAGCATGAAATAGATTAGTTAGAAAGAAAAATAGACAGATTAGTTAGAAAGATAGATAGATTAGTTAGAAAGAAAAGAGATTAGTTAGTAAGAAAGATAGATTAGTTAGAAAGATGAAAGATAGATTTGACAGAAAGAAAGATATATTAGTTAGAAAGAAATATAGATAGATTAGTTGGAAAGAAAGAAAAAAGAAAGTAAGAAAGAAAGAAATTAGTTACAAAGAAAGATAGTTTAGTAAGAAAGAAAGATTAGTTAGAAAGAAAGATAAATAGACAGTTAGAAAGAAATAAAGATAGATTAGTTGGAAAGATGAAAGATAGATTTGTTAGAAAGAAAGATAGATTAGTAAGAAAGAAAGACATTAAGAAAGAGATCAGTTAGAAAGAAATAAAGATAGATTAGTTAGAAAGATGAAAGATAGATTTGACAGAAAGAAAAAGATATTAGTTAGCAAGAAAGATAGATTAGTTAGAAAGATGAAAGATAGATTTGTTAGAAAGAAAGATAGATTAGTTAGAAAGATGAAAGATAGATTTGTTAGAAAGAAAGACAGATTAGTAAGAAAGAAAGACAGATTAGTAAGAAAGATAGATCAGAAAGAAAGAAAGATTAGAAAGAAAGAAAGATAGATTTGTTAGAAAGAAAGATAGATTAGTTAGAAAGAAAGATAGATTAGTTAGAAAGAAAGATAGATTTGACAAAGAAAGAAAGAAAGAGATTAGTTAGAAAGATAGATCAGTTAGAAAGAAAGATATAATAGTTAGAAAGAAAGAGATTAGTTAGAAAGAAAGATAAGAAAGATAGATCAGTTAGAAAGAAATAAAGATAAATTAGTTGGAAAGATAAAAGATAGATTTGTTAGAAAGAAAGATAGATTAGTTAGAAAGATAGATCAGTTAGAAAAAAAGAATTAAAGAAAGCATGTAATAAAGAAAGAATAGATAGATAGATAGATAGATAGATAGATAGATAGATAGATAGATAGATAGATAGATAGATAAAGTTGGAAAGAAAAAAAGAAAGTTTTTTTAGTTATAAAGAAAAAGATAGATTAGTTATAAAGAAAGAAAGATATATTAGTTAGAAAGATGATAGAAAGATTAGTTAGAAATAAAAAAGAAAGTTTTTTAGAAAGAAAAAGATAGATTAGTTAGAAAGAAAAAGATAGATTAGTTAGAAAGAAAGAAAGATAGATTAGTTAGAAAGATTATAGAAAGATTAGTTAGAACCACTGATCTATATAATGACATTATATGTGTGTATACATATGTCATTCTATATAGATCAGTGGTTAGAACGAAAGAAATATTAGTTCGAAAAGAAAGATAGATTAGTTAGAAAGAAAGAAAGATAGATTAGTTAGAAAGATAGATCAGTTAGAAATAAGATAGATTAGTAAGAAAGAAAGAAAGAAAGAAAGAAAGAAAGGAAAGAAAGAGATAGATAGATAGATAGATAGATAGATAGATAGATAGATAGATAGATAGATAGAAAAAAAGATAGATTAGTTAGAAAGAAATATAGATTAGTTAGAAAGAAAAAAGATAGATTAGTTAGAAAGAAAGAAAGAAAGATTAGTTAGAAAAAAAGAAAGAAAGATTAGTTAGAAAGATACATTGATTTGTAAGGATTAGGGCTGACTTCTAATAGTCGAGGATTCGACGATTCGATTCGGAGAGGTCTGATTCGACTATGAACGTTATAGTCGAATAGTACGGCCAGTTCAACCTCGTATAAATCAGGTTATGTGTGTCTCCCGCTCACGAGCGCTCACTCTTAACAGACACACTGTCCCCAGCACTGCTCGCGCGTCACAGAATGTTCATCAAGCGCTCCCCGTTCACAGTAACCGGGTCGTCTCATTCAAAACAGCCAGCCGTTGCTGTCAGCGAGCCGCCACAAATTGAATACTTATGAGTCAGGCTGCGTATGTAAGTTACGTTACTGTCCCAGCGCGCTCGCACTAATAAACGCCTCACCTCCGGCGCCACGCACTCACTACATTCCCAGCACATCTAGTGGATGCATAAAGCAAACCCAGTCAAACGTTTGACTACAGTATCTTATGCGCCCCATAATCCGGTGCGCCCTATATATGAAAAATGTTCTAAAATAGGTCATTAATTGAAGGTGTACCTTAATTATAATCCGGTGTGCCTTAAAGTGCGGAAAATACGGTATACATGCGTTTTATATTTAGTCTGAAATAGACAAGCATTCATGCGTGAAAAAAAATCTTTACGTTTTAGGAGGCAAAATATATTTTTTGTAATTTTGTGAATTACACTGCTCAAATCAGATGAGGAAGGGTTGGTTCTCCACAAAACATAAAATATTATTTTTTGTGTTCACAGAGGAAAAAACAATGTTACAGACGTGACAGTTCTCAGACGGACACGAGCGCTCTGAAGCAGCACTTAAAGACTGCTTTAAAACTTTCACAGACCTCAAACAGAAAAGCACAAAGCCTTTCTTTAAAGTGAATTTCGTTTTTATCATTTTTTTTCTTGATTTTAATTAATGTTTCATCAACCAATTGTCTGGATTTAATCAATAAGAAGGAAAAGCAGACAACTACTGATAATCAAGGTCTCATAAATATAGACCATTTTGCAAGATGTAAACAACACTGGTCCAGAAACACTTCCTGTTTCAGTTTGTAACTGCTTTCTTTATTTCACATGTAAAGAAAACATCTTAAAGATGTTTGTTTAACTTTTTGATTCAGTCTTATGTGTTCTGTTGGTTGTATTTTATCCCAGCTTTTATGTAGTGTTAAACTGAAACAGGAAGTGCTTCTGAACCAGTGTTGTTTACATCTTTCAAAATGGTCTATAGCTACCGCAACTCAGCGTATAGCCTAAGTACAGTCTACTCCACAGTCCTGAAACATATATCTATATTGAAATGTCTACTTGTAAATAGAACGATTCAAAACGAAAGAAAACGTAACCTAATGCTCCCTTCTTATAAAATGAACTGTGCATTTCTCTCTGGCGCATGCATGCACTATGTGAAGATCGCGCAGCGCAACTTCATCTTTATTAATAAACAATTAAAATGTCTCCTTGCTATATTTGTTCTTTGTGACAGCTTTTTATTTTCGGCAGCGCCGCTGCTACCCTTAGGCTAAAGCGTCAAGTTACAAGTTACAAGCTCGCCACCGCATCAAAAACATGATTGCGTGATAAAAACATGAAAAATACTACCTAAACATGGCCTAACTGTTTAGAAAAAAAAACACAGAACAAATAGCCTAATGCACATACGTCCATCTCTTTTGTTTGAAATGGAAAAAAATATAGCTGCTAGACCTATCTAAAAAAAATGTTCGACTATCAGTCGACTACGACAAAATCTAATGAATCAGATTCGACTATGAAAATCCTTAGTCGAAAATAGCCCAAGTAAGGATAGATAGATAGATAGATAGATAGATAGATAGATAGATAGATAGATAGATAGATAGATAGATAGATAGATGTAAGGGTTAATGCCCTCCGAGGTGTCCATTGTCAGGTTTTAATGGACGACGGCGAGGCGTGAACCGGCCGACGCGCAGCGGAGGGCGGTTGCCTCCGCTGAAGTCCATTAAAACCTGACAATGGACACCTCGGAGGGCATTAACCCGCTTATACCATGGTTACTTGCCAAAGAAAACATTTTTAAAACATTAGTTTATATTTTAATTAGGCTAAATCTAGTTTTTACAAATAATAACTTGCCTGAGACGGTTTATTTAGCAACCAGAGATATTTATAGTCCGCTCAGCTTGTAGAACCCTTCAGGTTCAAAAATTTTTATTACACATAAAACAATTAATCAAACAAAAATAAAAAAAACATAACAAAAACAAACAATTAGTTCTGAGCACCAGCAATTTGCACTTATAGAGGGCAATAAATTAATCAGATCAAAGAGAGGGTCATTTGCCTACATACTAGCTTTTTTATTTACAATTAATTTCAACGTTTCCATTTATAGTGCAATTTGAAAAAGTCGGCCAGTCAGGAGGATCCACAAAAGCTGGGTAGCGTTACTGCTGCCCATGATGGGCACTTGATGCAGACAGTACGTTGCTCCAGCTTCGTTGTGCTCATCTCCAAAAGTATCAGTTTAATACTTATCAGTCCAAGGGAACAGTTGTGATGCACAGTAGGAAAAATATGTATTTATTACAGATATTATTGGTAGCAATTACCATAAAAATGGCTTAAAAAGGAGCCACCAAACCAAGCTGATTGGCTAACAATTTTAAGAAATATTTACATTATGGAAAAAATTACATATTCATTAAGATTACAAAAGGAACTTTTTATTGAAAGATGGGCACCACTAATGACGGTGATGGAGGACCGTTAGAACTCTGATTATAACTGCTAGGGCAACTTGTATACAACCCATGTTTTGTTTTAAGTTGATGTTTGTTCTGTTGACATTATTTTAAATGTTGTTAATTATTTTTTGTTTATTTTTTTATTTTTATTTTTCTTCTCTCCTTGTACTCTTTGACATATTCTCCTCATCTTGTTGATTTGAAGCGTGTGAATGTTATGACCCATTGTACAGGATACTGTTTCTGAGTGGAAGTAATTGCTGTAAAAGGAGATCTGAAGAATATACAAAATAAAAAATAAGTGATAAAAAAGAAAGAAAGATTTGTTAGAAAGAAAAAAGATAGATTAGTTAAGAAGAAAGATAGATTAGTAAGAAAGAAAAAAAGATTAGTTACAAAGATATAAAGATAGATTAGTTTGAAAGATGAAAGATAGATTTAATAGAAAGAAAGATAGATTAGAAAGAAAATAGATAGATTAATTAGAAAGAAAGAAAGAAAAAGATGGATTAGTTAGAAAGAAAAATCAGTTAGAAACAAAGAAAGATCATTTAGAAAGAAAGATGGATTAGTTAGAAAGAAAGAAATATTAGTTTAAAAGAAAGAATGATAGATTGGATAAAAAGAAAAAATAGTTTGAAAGATAGGTAGATTAGTTAGAAAGATGAAAGATAGATTAGTTAGACAGAAATAAAGATAGATTAGTTAGAAAGATGAAAGATTATTTAGAAAGAAATAAAGATAGATTAGTTTGAAAGAAAAATAGATTAGTTAGAAATAAAGAATTAAAGATAGATTAGTTAGAAAGAAATAAAGATAGATTAGTTAGAAAGATGAAAGATTAGTTAGAAAGAAAGATATATAGGTTAGTTAGAAAAAAAAGTAGATTTGGTAGAAAGAAAGATAGATAGATTGGGTAGAAAGAACTAAAGAAAGAAAGAACACACTGCCAACATACATTTATGTTGAAAAACCATGTAAAAAATAATTTTGTTTAATGGTTCTCCTTTATGTATAAAATTAGTTCATTGACAATGCAGATATTTTACCTTTTTTTGTGTGTGATCTCCAGAACTCATCACAGAAAAATACCACAAATGTTTCTGTCGAAGCTAAAAAAGGAAGAAAGAGAAAGGTAATCATTCAGTACTTTGCTGATTGTGCTTGTGATTAGGTCTGATGGCCATAACATAACTGCTAGAATTATATATATATATATATATATATATATATTTGATTTGGTTTTCACAGATTGAAGCTGAACAGGACTCTGATACAGAAAACTCAAGCCCCACTTCATGCGCTCCTGGTTTAGATGTATTATCAGCAGGTGTATATTACCCTCTCAAAATTGTTGGATGTTTTCTTTTGTTTAGAGAAAGAACAGATCTATAAATATGGATGTGGTGTGTCTTTCTTCTTATTTAGGAGGACCGATTCCATTACTAAAGCGCAGAGGAAGAAAACCTAAAACGGAGAAATCTCTGCAGCTGCAACAACAGGCTTCAAAGGAGCCACTGAGGTCAGGTGGTGATTATTTACAAATGACTGTGTAACTATATAATTCTAATATAAAAACTATTTTATTCACTATATAGATGAGATGCACCAGTGTACTAACCTCTGATATTTATTATCTAGTTATCTATTACAACTTGGTTGTTATTTTATTTCTGAAAAGAAAAGCTTTTAAACCAAAACTAGAAAAAAGTTTGAGACAAACTTTAAGTTGGCTTGAGAAAGCCAGACTTTGAAGAAGATTAAAGTACTTTGAAGTTTGTTAGCTGGATTAGGTAGAAAGAAAGAATAGTTAGAAAGATAGATAAATAATAGATAGATAGATTAGTTTAGATTAGAAAGATTAGTTTCAATGAAAGAAATATTAGGTAGAAAGAAAGAAAGATAGATTATTTGATTGATTGATTGATTGATTGATTGATTGATTGATTGATTGATTGATAAGAAAGAAAGAGATAGATAGATTAGTTAGAAAAAAGATAGATAGATTAGTTAGAAAGTGTCAGCGTGGCCAGTGTCAGCGTGGCCTCCTGCCTTAGGCTGTCCTCACTTGGCCAAAGAGGATCTTACCCATCTCTGAGTAGTCACTTGGTGCACACTGGTAACCGCTCTTCCCAATAACAGAATCTTTAATCATTTTCTTCAACAAAAATCAGTTGTTTTCTTGAGCTCAGGAAAGGCACATTCAAGAGTCACCAGAGCCATTTGGACTACCTAATAGTGGTAACACGGAGACAGGTTAATAACAACAGTATTTAATCACCTAAACGCTAAACCCATTAACCATCTTAAAAGCAGCAACCTAGCTACTTAGATTATACTCAGTGAATTCAGTTATCACATTCAGTGAACTGTTACATCTGTAACCAAAGCCATCAGCCATGTTTCATGCTGGAGACTAAAGGCCATTGCACACCGAGTCCGAAATTCGCATCCGAAATTTTCGCACGTTAAAAAAAAAATTCGACCTCACGTTATGTCAGTCACGCTTGCACACCGCCTCCGAAACTTTCGTCCGTCATAAAATTAATCGGATCGGGTTCGATTTTCTGCGTTTTTCGCATCCAGAGCCAGCATTTTGAGAGGTCTTTTGACAATTCAGGGCCGGGGGGAGCTCGTCCTCAAATCATTGCACATATGCGCCGTGCTTTCAGTTTCGGTTTTCAATTCGATCAAGTGTTTATGTTCTCTTCTCTATATTGGATTATGAAATTAATAAACCTCCCCTTTCAATCAGATTGAAATTTAGGATCGAATAAGGTGTGATTGAGCAGCCTATTCGATAACTAATGTATTATTTGGGCACAATATACAAAATAACAGCCTAGCTGTTCTGTCTGCCCAGCGCTTCCAACGGGCCGCGCGCGGGTGTGTGTTTGTCCGTGTGTGTGTGTCCATACCTGGTCCATTTCAGACACACTGCCAGTCTCCGTTCAGAATCGATTGGTTCACGGAAATTGGTGGTCTTGTTTTTAATATGTGGCTCCAGAATCGCTAGCAAAGCATCAAACTGTCCCACTGACATTCTGAGGTAAATTTTGAATCGCTCAGGATATTCGTCGCAACTCCTTCCTCTCGGCGCAATTTCAGGATTGGATGGACGTAATATTTTCTCTTTCTTCCCTTTTCAATAAGAGAGAGGGCAAAAATCACTCTCACTGCTTGACGAATCCATTTGGTATTTTTGCGTTTTTTCCCGCAAAGGTTTAAGAAATACGCAACGGACTCGGTGTGCAAGGTTTCTATGCGTGACGAATTTTTAAGCTGACGAACACGAAAATACGCATACGAATATTTCGTGCTCAGTGTGCAATGGCCTTAAGATTAGACAAAGAAGTTACTGTTCTTAAAATAAACTAGTCAAAATATCTTCACTTCTATTCAGGCACGTGCACACATAGACATCAAAGGGGGCTTGAGCACCTGCCCTTTTTATTCCTGGAGAGAAAGTGCCCTTTTTTCTGGGGTGCTTTTTTATTTTATTTTTTAAGAAAATACATATTACTATTTGCTCACAGTTTCCCTGTCAAACAAATATATATTTAATGCCTAGTGTATCTAAATATCAGGTCAGGAGTTCTGAAGCGCCGATCAGAGTAAACGCGCCACCTCTAGTGAGCTCTCGCTGCCGTTTGGACTTTGAGCCGAGCGGATAAACAGTCCGTGAGGCGTGCGCTTCAAATTAGTTTCTTTGTGCTTTTGCCACATAAAAATTATCGAACTCTATATTGATATCGAGTATTGACGATTTTGACTCGAACTTGATATAGTTTTATCGCGAAAAATTATATAGTGATAATAATGAATGAATGAGCATATCAAGATTTGGCTAAATGTAATTTATGGCCTTGTATGGAAAATCCGGACTTTTTTATGAATTTGTATGGCCTAAAATTCTTATTATTAAAGTTAATGACTTACATAGCTACATCAAGAGTCTTTCCCCTGAAGTTTAGAAATCTAAATTGGTGAATTTAGAAGAAATCTACAGATGCAAACAGAATAAACTCGAAATGATGTGGATTTTGAAGGTTTTATTTGATGATGATACATTTCTCCCTCAAATGTGAAGTCCATGTCACCATCAGGTGTATCAAATATGTACTTGATTGACACTGTGGCATGGTTTCCTTTGCTGCTCTATAAACCTATGAATACTAAGGCCATGTCCACACGAACACACGGAGTTTTTCCCTCCTGCGTTTTTAAAAAAAACTCCGTCCACATGAAAACGCAAAAACACGTTATCAAGCGCCGTCAGGAGCATTCAACACCATCAGGCGGCAATATAAACCTAACCGTAAAGCCACGTTAGCCAATCAGAAGCCATCAGCGGAGCAAAAACTTTCAGAAAATACTCACCCTGGCAGGGGTTTTCAAAAATGTTCGGTTTCAGTGTCCTGATACTGCGTTTCCGTGTGGTCAAACGGCCGAACCGCGTAAAAAAAGTCACGGTTATAAAAATACCCGTGTCCGTGTGGACATGGCATAAGGAGACCATGATTTCTGTGTGAACTGATTATCTTGCAGACAACTTTTGAAAATTAAACAATCGTATGAGTTTGAGGAAGATAAAATTAATTAACTTTTTAAATATTTTTTTAAAAAATATTAGAGTTGTGTTAATATATATACTTTTTTGTTTAAAAAAAGTAAAATAAATTTTAAAATTATGAGAAGTGCCCTTTTTTTTCACTTGAGCCCCTGCCCCTGAAAATGTCTGTGCACGTCCCTGCTTCTATTGTTTAAGGTCCGTATTATTATTTTAAAGACTTCTTAAAAATCATTCAGTTTAACTTCTAAAACATTTACAAATTGTCCTCTAAATTTATCAAATCTAAAATGCCTGTAGCATAATTTATTTTACCCTTTCCATATCTAGGGTTTTCAACTGGAACACTGTGTTTTACTATGAATAGCTTCTTATCACTTATGACACAGTCATTTAAACACTAATCTACTTTCAAACCCACACCAACATCAGAAATCCCTGTCCCCTTCCGGGGACGCAGTGGCTCAGTGTTTCATGTAGGTTGTCTACAAACCGGAAGGTTGGTGGTTCAATTGTGTCCCAATCAGGAATGTAAACAGAGCTAATAAGCGGTTCTCTGCCTTCCTTTGACCATACACCAGTGGCTGATTCAAACACAATATCCAAATCATAATCCTCATCATTACCATTATCATTGACAGCACATTAATTTTCATAAACTGCACAGAAAATCATTAAACATATTCTAAGCAGGGTTCACAAAATATTTTGATGAACTTTGATCATCCTTGTCCAGGGAATTTATCCCAACTCATAATTTCTTTTATAAAACAGACAATAATTTTCCTTCAATGACTTAATATCAACATCATATCTGACATTGTACATTATTGATTTCCAGAATCTTTAGACATAGCTGTCTCTATCATCAACACTAATTACAGAACAAGTACATATCTAACATCCGGAAGCCTGGCTAAATAAGCAAGCTCTGTTGCTTGTACTCCTAGTATAGCCGGACCCTCAGTCACTCCTTAGTTGTTTGATACAGACATCGTCTACAATCATAAATACCAGGATATATGCATTCATTTTTATAAAACTATATTTTCCAATTCCTTTTATAATAAACGAAGATTGATAGTTAATCCATCTTCTCATGTAACACTTTACGGTAAGGGTACATGAATTATCATGAATGTGTAAATTAATGGATGAATTATGCATTAATATATCATGAAGTTCAACGTTTTTCATTCATGACTTCATGGATGAACAACACCTGAATTAAAACATTAACTAAGATGAGCACATCATCATGAATTATGATTTATTACACATTTTACACATATTACACACATTACTTTGTTCACAGTTATCCCACCATTAATATCACATTGTTCATCAGTGTTTCAAAGGACCTAGTTACCACTTTAGTTAAGGGGCCACACACATGATGAAGTCATTGATAGATAATGCTTAGTTAATGATGACTTCTGTATTTGATTAACAGAATGTGTGTGCTATGCGCTGTGATTGATTGGTCTATTTTGGTGTCTGTCCAATAGAGTAGCCATCATTAACTAAGCGTTATCTATTAATGACTTCATCATGTGTTTGGCCCTTCAACTAAAGTGGTGACTAGGTCACTGACCTAGACAAAGAACAAAGAAAACATCATGATCATGCGTAATAAATCATCATTCATGATGATGTGCTCATCTTAGTTAATGTTTTAATTAAGGTGTTGTTCATTAAGGAAGTCATGAATGAAAAATATTGAACTTGTGTTAGTTCCTGATGATTCATGAGATATTAATGCATAAATGAATGCATAATTCACAGTGGTGGAATGTAACGAAGTACAAATACTTCGTTACTTTACTTAAGTACATTTTTCACGTATCTTTACTTTACTTAAGTACAATAAATAGTGCCTACTTTTTACTTTTACTTCGTTACATTTTGCAGCAATTATTATACTTTCTACTCCACTACATTTCTACAACTTC